TCAGTATTTTGTTTTGTTTTTTCCTCCTGCTCCTTGTGTTCTGGCTTTGGTGGAGGCCTCTGCTGCAGGTTACTGCTCTAGTTTGATTCCGGGGCTGGTGCCTATGGAGGTGTCTGCTGCTGGTCTAGTGGGGCCTTTTGAGGTGGGTTGCCTACTGTTTGCCTCTGATTGCACAGTCCCAGCACTATGGTCTCTTTGCCCTGATGTCAGGGCTCCACCAATCTACCTGATCTTAGCAACTCCATATCTACACCCCTAAGCCCCCTATACCCACACACATCTTTGGCATATACAGAAACTCCTAGATATTAATGCCTGAAGCACTGTCTCCATTTCATATACCTAGGTACTTCCCCTCACTCCAATGCTGCTGAGCCTCCCTGGATGTAGAAGACAAGCTGACACTCCCAGGACTGCCGCCCCTCCTAAGCAATGCCTGGAGAAGCAGGTCACAGGGCCATCGCACATACCACACGTCTACATATGTGAGAGTTACAAGTCAAACTAGAAAATGATGTTCTCTCGTCACAGGCTGGCAAATATATCAAATAGCAGATCATACCAAATCATTGGGAAGAGCACAAACCCATAGTTAACTTCATGTTCCACCCCAGGCCATGATTTGGCAGTGACTGTTGCTGGGCAAGAGTGAAGTGGACAAAGGGAAAAGATTTCCTGCTGGCTTGCCATTCTGGTTCCCTGCAATCATTGGGAATATCCACAGAATAAACATCCACTTTCTCTTGGAGGGAGAGAGGGAGAAGATGGTCCTTTCATCCCCTCTTGATCTCTCTTTACCCACCTGTACCCCCTCCATCTGATCACAAGATTTCTCTTCATTCCACACAGTCTGAGTCAGGTGATCTTTGCTCACAACACATGCCCAGCCTCCATGTCCACCATCACTCAAGCACCTTACAGGAGCCTGAGGTTTAAAGGCCAGGTTCAAATTTAGAAATCTTGGCCTCTTAGAGTTCCCAGCCCAAGGCCAGTCCTCTTTTTCCCACCCTAGGCACTGTCACACCGTGAGGAACCCCCTCATGCTTGTGACAAGCTCTGTATCACCTCTAACTCCCACAAACAGCTGTTTGATCATCACACCTTGTACCTAGGGGTATACACTGTGGCAGCACAGTCCAGAAGGAACCAGGGGAGAGCCCCATGCAGGCTCTGGAAGTGGGTTCAGGTAACAATGCCGGGTCTTTGGTATGTGAGGCATGCTCTACAGGGGCCCCACCAATTCCACATCTTAGGGGGAGCACTGGAATGGGGGCCTCTAGAGTACTGGCAGGCCACCAGCCCCTCTGCTCTTAGTTTTTTTCATGCCTGTCTGGACTTCGCTACTCAGCAATTTGATTATGGTTTAGAAATTAAATAATTATTTTAAATTTTGTTGTGAATGGTTTGTGTTGTATAAAAATATTTTAGAGATACATTCAGAATTTGGATTGTCAAATTCAGAGCTTTGCTTTAAAAACATTATAGTGGCACTCGCCTCCAAAACTTCTTATTCAGAAGGACAGGAATCTTCTTGTTGTTTTAGGCTCCATGGGAGTTTCTGATGAAAAGCCAGGTTTGGGGATCACTCTTTTAAATAACTCAAAAGGTCCCTTCTTACATGAGAGTACATGATCTTAAGGTGACTTCAGGCTGGTTAATGTGTTTCTCATAAAAATAGTAGTTGAGAGCCACATCTTTAGGGGGCAATTAAGTTTCTAGCAAAAATATTTTTTTCTGGGGTGGTTCATCAGTAATTGGAAGCCTAGGGATTTGAGAAAGAAAGAAAATGTCAGCTCCATGTTAGTTGACTCCTTAGTATATTGAAAATATTTCTATTTTTATCTCTACATCCCTCATAGATGAAATCTAAAAATGTAGGAAGAATTACTAAATATAAGGCCTATTAATATCTAAGTAGACAAAAGAGTTTCAGGAAGCACTGCTTTCAAGTTTTTTCAATGTTTTATTGCCTACTAGGAGGGGAGGAAGCACAGATTACCGAATGTAGAGCTCCAAACCAAAATTATTTCAGCTTTCGTTTCTCTAACAGGCATGTACTAACATTACTGTCTAAATGAGTTCATAGAGCTCACTCCACCTTATTAAAATGAGGTTTTACTTAAGTCATAGGAGATTGCAAACTAGGTAATAACTGTTGAATGTTTAATACTCAATGTATTTATGGGAGACACAATAACACTTCTCTGCTTATAAATATATAATAACATAATGGAAGTTACCCATTAAAATTTTAATATTCAATAAAGAGTATATCTGTAATGCGCTTGTCCCCAGAGTTCTATGATGGTATATTTGGGGAAGAGAGAGAAGTTGGTGGGAGAGGCATCAGTGAAGATGCTTGACTATTAAAATGAAATGCTTTTCCCTCCATTTCCTTTTTACTTTGCAATGTTGCATCTCATTTCAGTTATGTTTCACTATTGTCTTAGAAGAGGGCAGAAATAGTCAACTGAGGACACAGCTGCAAAATATTCTGATTGATGGGGAATGTTTTTATTTCAAAGATTTATTTTCTTATTAACAGATTCTGGGTAACTTAGTAACCTGGCTTTAAACACAGGAGACGTAATGATTTTCATCTTTTCCCCTTAAACACACAGTACAAGAAGAATTTCAGACTAGATGCCCCAGGAGGAAAGTGATTGTCACTACCCCAACAAGTGCCTCAAGTATCATCATACTTTTAAACCATTGATACAACTCTGTTAAACAGGACACAAGAGGTACTGTGGACAGGAAGGTGTCCCTGTCACACCCAACCCCTCATTCCCTAGTCCTCTGCAGGAGCAACAAGTGTGGGCAGTTTGTTTTCTAGAAATGGACCTGTAGATACAACTATATATGTGTGAATATGTTTATAATCATACACTTACATATAATAGTGACCCAAAGACCAACTGACTCAGCAGAAATTCAAATCTTCATTCATTTGACATAGCCTGGCATTTTTCTATTCCAGATATCTAGTACCAGTTATTAGGAAAAATGGCCAACTTAATAATCTTTGTTATATTTGAGAAAAGGCTAAGGAATCCTATATAATAAAGAGCTAATATGCTAATTAGACCAGATGGTGGAACGACCTTCTGGAACAACCTTCAGGAACAACCTGGGGGCGGGGGGCGGGACTGCAGAGCCGAGAGGCAGCCAGGGCGAGGGCCGAGACCCTTGCATGAATTTCGTGCATCGGGCCTCTAGTGACTTAATAAAATAATTTATAAAACCACAAAAATAATTAAACAACAATAACTGGAAGGTCACAGAACAAGATTCTTGTTTTTTAATTCCACCACTCCTCAGTTGCCACTGCGTTGCAAGTCTCATGAGGACCATTAGAGTTTATGAGAAAGACAGCAAAGATAACATGCCTGAGGAAGGAAGTAGGGGAAGGTGCAGGTGAACTCATCTTAAGGGTTTGATCTGTTTTCCAAAAGTGGGAATTTTATGGGAGGTCTCAGGAATATCTCAATAGCATATTCATCAGCTTTCCCAGTGTGTCCTTTAATGTGCTGATTCATCAAAATGAGCATATAGCAGGGTTAGGGTCATTCTCTGGTAAGTTTCATCTTCAAAGAATGTCATCAAAGAGGGAATGGGACCAAGGTGAGTCTGTCCCCATAGGGTCCGGAATGTATAAACCATTTGCTCCTAAGTATCCCTTGGTTAGGGAAGATAAGACCTTGCAATTTATTACCTGGCTATAAATTGCTCTGCTGACTTATTATCTGGCTGTAATTGCTTGGCTGTTTAACTATTTTTCTCAGTTTCCCCATTCCACTCACCAAGGAACTTTCCTAGCTTCTTATTATCCTGCCTCAGTACTGGGAAAGGTAAACAAACAGGGCTCCCCACCTAGCTACGTCCCCATTCTGATGACCTCTAGCAAGCCATTCCCTAAATCAGATCCCCTTGCTGTACGACACAGGAATCATAAAATGTGCCGCCTGCGTCAGTAGAAGTAGTAACAACTGACGTATTCCTATCTCTCAAATGCCCAAAGCTCTTCAGAAGAGAGGAGAGGCTGTTTGGTTCAGAGTTTGTATAACTGAGAGGACATATATCAGACAGCCCAGTAGAATCTCACAAATATGATAGGACTTGGCTACATTGCCCATGTTTTTTTTAAATAAACTTTTTATTATACAGGTTTTAGATTTACAGAATAATTGCAAAGATAGGACAGAGAATTCCCAAATACTCAGCATCCAGTTTCCCCTGTGACTAACATCTTGCATTAGTACGGTACATTTGCTACAATTAACTAATATTAATGCAGTATTAACTATATTCAGATTTCCTTGGGTTTTACCTGGTGTCCTTTTTCTGTTCCAAGATCCCATCCAGGGACCACATCACATTCAGTCATCATGTCTCCTCTTGGCTGTGACAGTCTCTCCGAGTTTTCTTCTTGATGACTGCAAGTTTTGAGGAGTACTGGCCAGGTGTTTTGTAGAACGTCTCTCAAGTGGGGTTTGTCTGATATTTTCCTCATTATTAGACTGGGATTATGGGTTTTGGTGAGGAAGATAAAAGTATAGTGCATTTTTATACCTTTCTACTTTTTAAAAATTCCATGTCAATTCCTCCCTATCTCCCCCACCCCCCAACCCTGTTATTATACTGCTAGTGCCTGTTAGGATCAAGGAAACGGGGCCTCATTCTGGTACATATTACAGGAAGTCATTCTTACCTGATTGGATATCACTAGTGGGAATGGACTCCTCAGAGAGAATTTCCCGTGATGAGTTGCCTTAGAGCCACAGATTTGATGAGTGAACTGAGAAGAGGGTCCAAGCAAAGGCAACAAGTGTGGCATAGAAAATAGAACCATCCTGGCAGCTGACCTGGGAGAAGACACTGCCTGCGGGATTTTCTTTTTTTTTTTTCCTATTCTGTTTTTTCTTTCTTTATTTATTGATTAAGGTATTGCATATTTGTCCTAACCCCTCCATTCCTCCCCACCCCCACCCTTCGCTTATGCCCTCACCCCCCTGGTGTCTGTGTCCATTGCATTGGTTATGCTTATATGCATGCATACAAGTCCTTTGGTTGATCTCCTGAGGGATTTTCTAATCCTTTGAGCAATGAAGGACTGGAATGTGGAATAACAAGTGATAAAAATACGCCCACAATCAAAGGCACCTGGTCAAAGAAACACCCACGCCCCGTCAGTGGAGTAAAGGCAGGAAGTGGAGTTTATGAATATGGCAGGTATCAGGTGATGACTAAGATTGAAATGGAGCTAATCCTGGAAGTATCCTCAAGTTAAAATCCTAAGGCTCTGAAGGCGTCTAAATAAGCTAGCTGACAAAACAAATGTTCTGGAAAAAAAAAAATCAGGAAATCTCTCTCGTAAAAAAAAAAAAAAAAAAAAAGCCTTTGTTGCCAACCGTATGCACCTGCTGGCAGGTGGAGAAGGCAGATGCTTAGAGTTTCTCAGGAGTGTGTCTGAGTTAGACTTCCTCATGTCTTCTCTCATACAGTTTAAACTTGGAATCATGTTCAGAGAGTGATTTGCCAGGGCTAAGTATGCCTAACTGTCTAGGGCCATGAAATGGAACCTCGCCAACTGGCCCTTACTGGAACAGTGAACTTGGACTCTGGCCACTCAGCCAGTCAGCTATTGACCTGCCAACACAAATAAACTTCAACATTCACCTTCATTTTAGAACTCTGGTAAGGATTAGAGGAATTTAGTTATCTGAACACCATTGGTAATCTGTAAAGTGCTTTTCATTAAAAAGTATTGTCACTGTTCTGTTAAGCTCTTTGCCCAGGTCTCTGTTTCTGAAGAATGTGACAGCCCTGGATGGTTTGGCTCAGTGGATAGAGCGTCCACCTGCGGACTGAAGAGTCCCTGGTTCGATTCCAGTCAAGGGCACATGCCTGGGTTGCGGGCTTGATCCCCAGTAGGGGGCGTGCAGGAGGCAGCAGATCAATGATTCTCTCTCCCTCTCCCTTCTTCTCTGAAATCAATAAAATATATTTTTTTAAGAAAAGAATGTGACGCCCTAGCTGGTTTGGCTCACTGGATAGGGTGTCGGCCTGGAGACTGAGGGGTCCCAGGTTTGATTCCTGTCAAGGGCATGTGCTTTGGTTCCCGGCACATCCCCAGTAGGGGGTGTGCAGGAGGCGGCTGGTCTGTGCTTCTCTCTCATCGATGTTTCTAACTCTCTATCCCTCACCCTTCCTCTCTGTAAGAAAATCAGTAAAGTATATATTTTAAAAAAAAAAAAGAATGTGACAAGAAAGGAATGTGGTGATTTCTTCTCTTCATTTACCCTTTTCTTTTACATTTATACTCCAGGCATTATAGTATAGATGGTGCAAGTGAAGAAGAATAACAAAAGAGGATTCATCGAGCCCTCAGTGTGCTGGTTACAATTCTAAGCTCTTTACAGGTATTAATCCATTTAATCCTTATGACAACTCTATTATTTTGCCCATTATTACTGTTGAGTAAACTGAGATACAGAGAAGTTAAATGCTAAAGGTCAAATCGCTCTAATGTGGCTATATCAGTTGGAACTCGTTTTGGTTGTATAACTAATAACTCAAATGACATGGTTTAAACAAATTAGAGTTTAATTTTCTCTTGAGTAAAAGAAGATGGGAGGTAGGTAGTCAAAGGCTAGAATGGCAGTCTCACCATTCTTAGGAACTCAGGCTCATCTTTCTTCTTTCTCTAGATATCTTAGCACATGACTATCCTCGGGTTCTCCTCAATAGTCCAAGATGGGATTGGAATGCCAGGCATCAAAACTGTTTTAGTTAGAAGAGAAGGAAGGAGAGGGCCAAAGGGCTTTCCCAGAAGCCCCACCCAACAACTTCCACAGACACTTGACTGGTTACCCCTAGCTGCAAAGAAAGCTGGAAAATGTGTTTTTCTTTTTCTTTTTTAAAAAAAGTTGGACACATTTCTGAAGGTTCTGTAAAGGAAAAAAGAGACAATACATTTTAGACTCATGCACCATAGAATACAGTTTCTCAGAATAGAATTGTGGCTTTTGTTGGCAGGTGAAAATAAGGCTGTATTACGTTTTTATTTCCCACTTGCAGTAGTCATTTAAAAATGCAAACAAGGTGGTGTATACAATTTTTTTTTAAAGTTAGAATTTTACTTAGTTTCTAGTTTTCCCTTATCCACAATTTATAGTTGATGAGATTCTGTAACTTCATAGTATTCAAATGATTATTTTAGACTCTTACAATGAAGAATAAAAAAAGACAGAAATGGTTTTAGAAGAAATACCTTTCATATTTTTATCCTGAAATTTTTATCTGGAGGTTTTTGGGGTTTTTTCTGCAAGGCATTACTCTCAGATTTCCCTTTCAAAGAGCAAATGTCCAATATTAACATTTTCATTTGTCTTTTAAGGAAAGAAAGGAAAAGAATATTTGAATTGACATTTAGACAATTACTTAGTTGGGTTTATTGTACTTGATTATGGCTAAAACCTTTCTTTTGATCTCAGTTTCTCCAGCTATAAAGTATAGTCATTCATTTATTCATCCATTCACTAAATACTTCTGGGTTTAAAAAGTGTTGGATGCTTTATATTTGATAGTCATTTCTGTCTCATTGTTAACAAAATAATTGGGTAATGTGAAAGACATTTTTAAAGTTTGTACTTCAACAACTACTTTTACAGTTAAACAGAAAGTATTTCTTTTCATACAGATAAACCAAATTTGGTGTATTGAAAAAAGAAACTGGAAACTTTTGGAATCATAAGATAAGAATATTTTAACTATGTACACATTACACATAGAAAAACATTATGAATCTTTACATATAAGGATACTAAAAGGTAAGTATTGACAATTTTCCTTTTTAAAAATAAACAATATATTGTGACATGCCTTTGTGACATACAGTGCTCTCCCCTAGAGCTGATACAACTCTAAAATAGATATATTTGCAGAAAATATTCTTCTCGTTTATATTAATGTAGCCATATTGCTTCTCTAAGGAAACATTTATAAACATTGCTACTGTGTTCCAGAAATGTTTTAAGAAGAAAATCATTATATATGAATCCTCTACAATGGAAAATATTATAATAACGTTTCCCCTGATAGAATTCAAAATTGTGCATGTCACAGTAAACAAAGTGATATGAGTTCTGCATCAGAGCCTAAGGCTATGGCTGGGGGTCATGATTTATTTTCAGTTTGTTATTAGTACTGATTGCCTTCTGACACTAGACAAGCTATTCAAACTATTGAATTCTTTCTCTTTTTTTCTTCCTTCCTTCCTTCCTTCCTTCCTTCCTTCCTTCCTTCCTTACTTCCTTCCTTCCTTCCTTCCTTCCTTCCTTCCTTCCTTCTTTCTTTCTTTCTTTCTTTCTTTCTTTCTTTCTTTCTTTCTTTCTTTCTTTCTTTCTTTCTTTCTTTCTTCACAGCCAGCATTAGCTGTGGCAGGAAACTCAGAGCACCCAGAAGCTTCGGTACACCAGTTGGAGCCCTGTCTAAATGTGTGAGTATTGGGGGAAAGGGCCACAAATGTCATTTGAGTCCTTCAAATAACAGAAAACACAGAACCTTCCATTTCAATTATGGATTCACATAAGAAGCAAATGAAGGAAAGCAGAGTCAACGGGGAGAAAGGGAAGCAGCAAGAATAGTAAGACTGTGAAGCAGTGTTCTGTGCAAAGAGAGTAAAGATGGCAGTTACAAAAAGCTGAAAATAGTTAATAAGTAAAATTCTCAACATGCTTTTCCCATTGTGCCCTTGATCTTATTTAGAATAAGATGATTTAAAAATTTTAAACATGCACCATAGCTTTATTTTATGCCTTGGCTGGCTAGTTTGTAGTTCGGGGACAGGTGGTAATATGCCTCCCTCTTGGCCAAAAGCTTGTCCTTCCTGCTCCTCAAAGTCAGTGTTATTTTCAGAGTATGATGCTTATAGAATTCCTTTCTGGGCATTTTTTTCTACTCTGAAAATTTTTTTCTAGATACTTCTCTCCTCTATAATAGAACACAGTGCTAAGTCCTTGCAAATACTTAATAAATCAGTAGCCTATATTGATGTTAACATTCTTAATTTAAATTCTTGGAGATTTGAGCTGTGTTGTTTGTTGAGGAACACTGACATAATAAGAAAGAGATCGTAAAAGTATGTCTTGGTGGCAAAATAGAACAATAGACAGACTTGATCATTTTTGCCAGAGCCAATCATCTCCTTGTTTGATAATCACATAGCAGCCAGTCTTCCACTAAGTACTACCTCTTACATACCCTATTCTTCTCACTCACTGCTGTGAAAAACCGTACTAATCTGACTCTGAGATCCTGTAAATTCTCTTTCCTCCTCATATCTTCCCTCCCCCAACTCTCACTTATCAAACAACCTTCTAAAATAAATAAGGAACAGCAGAAAGATGGCTCTTAGAGTAAGCCCATTTATTTTATTACCAGCACTAATAAGTAACTCCCTTCATCTCTGGCTTAAAACATCTCAAAGCAACAATGCATTCAAGATCCTTCAGGATGGTAAAACACATGGATACTTAGCTATAAGGTAGGAGGAATGATACAAAGACAATGACTAAAGTACTGAGGGAAGGTTCTTCAGCCTCAGAATGAGCAAACTTTTGTGGCAGAAACACAGCCAGGCTTGATGAGAGAAGCAGAGTATGTGGTTAAATTATTTATAACGATGCTGCAGCTGTATTGATCAGAGGGAGTTTCTCTCTTAACCCTACCTTCCCCGAACCTTAAAGAATTATGTCCTCCCTCAGATTTCACATAAATGCAGTTATAATAATAATAATAATAATAATAATAATAATAATAAAAAGAATTATATCCTCCCTCAAAGAATTATGCCCCAAAGTGAAAGGGTGTGGGGTGGGTTACTGGTGAGGATCTTAGTTAAGAAAAGACTGGTTATCCAATATAGTTCTACCATATCTAATGACAAGCAAACTGATGATCTCTTTGCATATCTCATTTCCTAGGAAAGAAATGGTATATCATTTCACAGTATGCCCTGCAGGAAAAAGATTCTGCCCTCCCTACCGGCATCATATTACCTCAGCATCAAAAAACCTAATACAAAATTGAAGCTTTCAAAGCATAGCATGGTATTAAAAGAGCATTTATATTTTAAGAATCTTGTGTACTGTTGAATCTGCACTGCCAGAACACTACCAGACCCATTGTAGGTGGTCAGTCATATTGAATAAATGAATGAATGTTCTTAGCATATTTGGATTCACTGAATGGGTTTGGGATTCAGCCACTAAAGGCCATGTGCTCAGCAGTGTGTTAGGGGGATGCTGGCTTCTATGCTAGCCTAAATTGGCCATTCTAGCTTCCTCCTGGGTAGAGTCTTGCTTGCTAGGGAAATAACATGTACTGGGGGATTAAGGATTAATTTAGAATATGTGCACACAGTTCCAACTTTCCATTGGGAAACTCTAAGACAAGAATCTATTCTTTGCCCTTAAATAAGCCCAAAGCAGTTTGCCACCCTCTTTAGGCCAAAGATTGTGTGTGATAAGCTTCTGAAGAAAACAAACTGTTAGAAGATACAGTGTCCTTTTCACCTCAGGAGAGAGGGGACTTGAAAAGAAAATGCTGCTTAATGCTACTAAGATCACCAGCACTTCACTTGAAAAAAACAAAATCCTATTCTGATGTGGAGGAGAAAAACAGTATTGGTGGCATACCAAGCTGATTCATTCCAAGAAGAAATTCTAGGCATTTGTTCCAAATGGGTGTTGAAAAACCATCTAGGACAGGTATAATGTGACATATCTACATTACAGACAACTTTGGCTAATGTGCCGCCTTTTTTCCTAATAGTTAACATTTTATGGAATTCAACCAAAAAGCACATTATTAGAAAAGGAGGAGACATTAGGTAGATGTGGCTCATTTTATTTTGTTTTTTTGTTTGGTTTGGTTGGTTTGGTGATATTTCAACAGATCAGAGAATACTAGAAATGATCAGGTTCCAACAGGAGCCTAAAAATGGCATCAGTCTTGGATTTGGGATAAGAAGGAAGCTGGAGCCCCTGCAAAGGTTCCTATCCCTCCATCCCAAATTCCTAGATGACACCTGCCCCTCCATCCCAAATTCCTAGATATGACAGATCATATGCTTTTTGCTTTTCTTTTCTTTCTTTTTTAATTAATAGCAGTATTTTAATAAAGAAATAGATATGTGTGAGCCAGAAAGCATTATAAGGAATCCTGAAATATGCAAAGCAGATGGGAACAACTTCCAATGTGCTACAGACTCAGAAAGGGCAGATTCAGGGAACAGGAAGAGCCCTAGGCCACCAGGAAGTACTGAGATGGGACAAATGTAGGCAGTAGAGCAAAAATGCTGAAGAACTTGTTATTACATCACACTCAGTAATGTATTAATAGAATTATGTCATAACCGAGCAGGATTTATGCCAGAGATGTTCAAAATTGGAAAAAAATATTAATGTCATTTGCTCTATTACTAAATTAAATATGAAAACTATTAGAAATAATAAAAAAAAAATCCAACAAGGCAACCAGAAACAAGATCAACAGACAAAAACTATAGCATTCAAACTTACTAGCAATATACACGTGAAGGATATTACTATAGACTAAGTGTATCTCCTCAAAAATTCATGTTTGTGAAGACATGACCCCTATGACATGTATTTTGAATCCTAACCACAGTGGTATCAGAAAGTGGGTGGGCCTTTGAGAGGTCATTAGGTCATGACAGTGGAGCCCTCAAGAATGAGATTAGGGCACCTATAAGGAGACCCTGGAGAGCTCTCTTACCTCTCATGCTGTGTGAGGAAACAGCGGGAAGACACAGCCACTTGCTTGTGTCTAGGTGTGAACCTCTTTGTATTTAACTTTCTATGGGTTTATTGAGTTCTTGGATCTGTAGATTAATGTTTTCCATCAAATTTGGGAAGTTTTAGCCATTATTTCTCCAAATATTTTCTGTGCCTTCCTCTGTTTCTCCTCTTTCTCAACACACACACACACACACACACACACACACACATTTTGTATTCTTATATGGAGTCCAAAATATGGATACAATACAAATTATTCAAGCATTTCTTAATTAGTGGAAA